TCAGCAGGTTACTACCGAGAGAGAGCGAGTTGTGACTTGAGACTTGACGACATTGGATCCAGACTCAACCTTGGGATTCAGACATTTCGACGAGGGACTATTTGGGCCTGTGCTGAACACTTGGTGTTGACGACATTCCCATCTTCCCCTCTTCTTCGTCTAAACCCCATCTTCTTCGTCTGTGTATGGTTGGGACTGGCGCAGTCTTCCTGTGTGAAGCGCCAGACCCCTTCACACCATGGAATGATGATGATGATGTATGTTTGGGGCTGCATTGCAATATTGATTGTTCGGATCATTGGTATCCAAGTCTTCCGCTGTGCTATTTTATACTTTGTATTGAAAGGTCGGTTCTTGTTCTGGTCTGCACCTATACGGTATGCAACAATGCCCCTACCAATGCTTCAGGCCATAATCTGCCTCGATGATACGGCAAGTGGTAAACCACCTTAACCCCAGTTATGATAAACTCTACGCCCAACGGATTTAGATCCAGCAGCGAGGCCCGCTATTCTCTCTCTCTCTCTCTCTCTAAAGAGAAAGAATGGCGAAAGTCAAAGCAGCCTATCACTCAGGTACAGTGGAGCGAAAACTCCACAGACTGCAGGTTCTTTTTCTTCTTCTTTTTTTTTCCCTAAGCCAGGAAAACCCCCACGAAACAAGAAAAAAAAAAGGTAAAAAAAAAAAAAGGTGCGTCACAGCAATATTACGTATATGAGTGTGCCCAGAACGGAGGGAGTCATAGGGCCTCGCTCCACTACTCTCGACATATGCAAAAGAGTGAACCTTCCGCTAGAACATGGAAAGATACACCATCGCCATATTTTTTTTTGTCTTTTGTGCATGTCTAGAGTAGTGGAGCGAGGCCCATAGCCAGAACTTAAAGTGTATGTTTTTCATAAACAAATAGATGAACAAAAACAAAATTCCAAAACCGAGAGAAGAAGAAAAAAAGCAAGTAATAAATAACGTTTATAAAAGAAAAATCAAGAAATTGACTCCTCCAGCCTCTTGCAGCACTGCCGGGGCCAAGTCCCACTAGCAGCGTTGAGCTACCTCAACGCCTGAATCTGGACGTTTTTGCGGAGATGTGCACAAATGGTGTTGAGTTTCCTGAACTGCACGTCTCCACAAACACGTCCAGATTCAGGCGTTGAGGTAGCTCAACGCTGCTAGTGGGACTTGGCCCCCGGTAGTATTCTCTCGGCCCATCCCATTTGCAATTTGACAATCACAAACTACCAATACCTGATTCCCTTCCCCCCAACTCACCGAAAAAAAAAAATAAAAAAAAATCCTGATTCCCGACAAACCACTGTAAACCCGTATAAGCAACCCCCTTATAAACCCCTCTTAAACCCCTTACAAATGAAACAGTTTTCAAAGCAAGGTAAATGAAGAATTCAGCTTCATATGTTGAAAAGTCGTTAATGAATTAGATTTTATTTTAATTGATAAAGTTGAAAAATCTTTTTCATAAAAGTTTTTTTTTTTTTTAAATATAAAAGATATATTCGATTTCATAGAGTGGTCTAATAGCAAGTTTTTTTTTTTAATATAAATTTGTCTTTAAGCATTCTTCCGATTTATTAGAATTAGAATTAGAATTAGAATTAGAATTAGAATTAGAATTAGAAAAAAAAAAAAAAAAAAAGAAATAAATGACCCCGGTGATGAAGTACTCCCCACATGCAAGAATGCACTAGTACCTACAGGGCCTCGCCACACCCCTGTCGAATTTGAAAACGTTCAAATGCATGTTCGTTCCCGCAGAAAATGGCCAGATGCATCTGTTCCTATGAAAAGCAACAGATGCATCTCGCCACTTTTTTGAGGAAGATGCACTCGTGCTTTTTTTCGTTTCGGCGGCAGTCGTGTGGTGAGCGAGGCCCACACTCCAACCCCTCTAGCACCACCCCCCGTAGCACCCACATACGTTCGGACAACCTCAGCCAGCGGGGGAGGTTCTTTTTTAATTTTATTTTTTTATTATTAAACCAGCTCATCTTTATTGGAGGCTAATTTTTGGTCCCTTGCCAAGTCCGCTCCGCTGTTTCTGGGCCTCGCTCCACTACTCACCAAATGTGCAAAATGAGAGTGAATCTTCCGCCAGAACATGGAAAGATACACCGCCATATGTTTTGTCTTTTGTGCATGCGGTGATTAGTGGCGCGAGGCGAGGACCTTTGTCTCGGGCCAACTTGTGCGGGATAGGTTTCGCTGTCGCCCCAAAAAAAAAAAAAAAAAAAAAGACAACGAAAAAAAGAAAAGGGGGAAACTACACGGGAGTCACAAAAACGAGTTATACAGTTTTTTTTTTTTTTGTTTTTTTTTTTTAGGGGGATTATACAGTAATTGCACTACTATGGGTCAAGACAGACAGTTTCGAATTGCAGTTCGGACGGCAATGTATACAACCCAGATTTCTGGCCAGGTGTAGGGTGCCCGAAGTGCAATAATTGCAAACTGTATCTTGCCCCATTATGATACTGCAATTATAACTCCTTTTTTTTGTGACTTTCTACTGAAGTTACCCCCCCCCAAAAAAAAAGAAAAAAAGAAAGAAAAAAAGAAAAAAAGATAAAAAGAAAAAAAGAAAGAAAGAAAGAAAAAAAGAAAGAAAGAAAGAAAGAAAGAAAGAAAAGCAATGGCCGACTACAGTCTTCCCCTTTTTATATATACATGAAACTGATCAGAACAGATTCTACACTTGATCTTAGCCGAAAGGCGACTACATGCTCCCGAAGACGAACTCAATTGAAGAAATCAATCCGTTAAATCGCCACGTGTTCAGCACTCAGAAGGCGCACAGGAAGTTAAAAATAAAAATCAACAGGAAGATGACATACGAGCCCCTGAACGACCCCTTGGCCCTTGGATGTGGTGAATATCAGGATAAATCCGGTGTACAAGACTCTCTCTCTCTCTCTCTCTCTCTCTCTCTCTCTCTCTCTCTCTCTCTCTCTCTCTCTCTCTCTCTCTCTCTCTCTTCT